TAGGTTGTAAAAATGTTGTTTTTTGGTAAACCAGTCAACCAGAAACTTTTTTATTCTCAAAAGCACCATAGTAACCCATATGTGTTCTCAGAAGACAGAATCATTGAGTGTAAATAATGGATGCCTTGGAATAACTACTTTGTGTTACACAAGAACTGAAAGCTGATAGATTTGCCACTATTGCTATCGGAAGACACTTCCAATGAAGAGTCGGATTCGTGATAAAACCAGTATAGCTATATGTCCTTCCGTTAACTTTCCTCAGTTGTATTTCAAAGAAATTTCTACCTGATACATTTAAAGAATTAATCTTTTATATTGCAAATTAGTACTGAATATAGCAGGCGGCCTGGAATCCTGAGCTGCTATACAACAACATCTCGCACTTTAATGTCTAGTCAATCCCTGATTTGTGTTTACTTTGAGAAGAGAATTCTTCCATCCCACATGGACGAAATTGAGGTAGATCCGATACCATTTCAACTTAATTTCAGTTAATATTCCTTAGAGAAAAGAAGCTAGGCTGGCGTGGTTGGCACTCCACCGGCGCCTGAATCCCAGCCTCCGTACTTGGGCGAGTGCCAAGGCGGGATGATTGCTTGAGAAAGAAGCTAAATTAATACAGGAGTTGCAGCAATCGTAATTTTTACAAAATATTTAGTATTTAGAGATACTCATGTTTTGTAAACAAAAATGATTTGCCTTTTTTAGCTGTCAGATTTTTTTGTGTTGTAATTTTAAGATTGTTCAGTTAGCTAAAAGTATAAGAAACCAAACTTTTTTTGTATGTATTTAAGGGAAGAAATCAAACTTTCAGATGGTATTTTAGTTTTAGGTGAAGTTCTTAAAATCTATTAGTTCATCTCTAAAAATATCTAAAATAATTACTTCTATCTAGGTGTTTAGATATTTGACACTTTAACCAGTACTATATTTAAATAACATTTCTCGTTGATTTAACTTGAAAATTATAGTTACTTCTTTAGCAAGATTCCACAATCATGTAATTTCTGTTTTCTAGATTTGCCTATGATGGGCTAAAACGTCAAAGACTTACCGAGCCGATGATCAGAAATGAAAAAGGGCTTTTAACCTATACTTCTTGGGAGGATGCACTCTCTCGTGTAGCTGGAATGGTAAAAATTGAAATAAATAGTGTTAAATAGTGTTTGTGATTATCAAGAAACATCTTTGCCATGAAGAGGGGGGATGTATGTTTCTTCCCTTTTTTCCTTTTGCCAAGATTATGATTTAATCTTCCATTTTACAGACATCTGTTGAGGACATATGCTAGATATTATGCTAGATTAAGGGATATAAAGACCACAGACATGTCATTCCTGCATCCTACAATCTTGTACTGGAGAAAGTTGCACAATTCAGCAATTATTATATGCAGCTATGAGTAATTATATAGGGAGTAGTATGAGTGAGAGCATGTAGGAGGAATGCCTAACTAGGACAGGCAAATCAAGATGACTTCCTTGGAGGTTGCAGTGAGCCGAGACCGCACCACTGCACTCCAGTCTGAGTGACACAGCGAGACTCCATCTCAAAAAAAAAAAAAAAAAAAGTGAGGCTTCTTAGGAGTTCCCCTGTGTCTGCATAGTTTAGTAATCAGGTATAATTATACTTCAGACACCTCGACCTAATACGAGTTAGTTCTTTGCCAGTGAATCTGTATGTGGATGGAGGAGCATATTCAAAGTTCAGGCTGTTTTCAAGTCTGCCCAGCTATTACTTTGCACTGGGCCCTATGGGTCTCAGTGTTATCCAGGAGTTTGTGAATAGATTGAGCCGTCTCTGGTTTCACCTGCACATGTGGCAGCCGCTGCTAGGAATGCTGGCCGCAATTACCACTACAAACTTAGGCTAGTAAAATCTTGGCTATCCTCAGCTACAATGACCTCCAAAGCTTCACCTCCACAGACAAGTTTGCCTGTTGCTCCAAATTAAGTGAGTTGTCTCCATCTGTACCAAAGAAGTTCTCGTCTTCACAGCCTGCCCCAGCCTCGAAGAAATTCCATTTTGAGGGGGTAGAGAGGAGCATAGGAGCAGCACCGAGCCCAGCCACCAGTTTTTCAGTGCATAAAAGCTTAACACATTCTTGTATGCATTTACATTTCTAAACTGCTGAAATGGTGGGTTTTGCCATTTTTGTCCAGCTTTACTTTTGCTTTTCAGTGGGAAGGTTTTTTGAGCTCCTTAACCTCCCATAGACAGAAATCCTGCCCCTCTTTTTGAATCGTCCCAGATTTGGCTAGTTGGAGCCCCTTCAAACTAGCTTCTGTGTCAGATAATAGTTTTAAAGCCTTCCTTACTGTGCCAGGAATTTACGTGTTCAAATATCGGTGTGCCAGGAGCAGTGGCTCACGCCTATAATTCCAGCATTTTAGGAGGCCAAGGTGGAGGATTGCTTGAGACCAGAAGTTCAAGACCAGCCTGGTCAACATAATGAGACAGTGCCTCTACAAAAAATTTTTAAAATGTGGTGAGAGGATAGTTTGAGCCCAGGAGTTCTAGGCTGCAGTGATCATGCCACTCTAGCCTGGGCAACAGAGTGAGACCCCATGGCAAAAAAAAAGTGTGGGGGGTTCTTTTATTTAATTGCAATTCCTCTGAGCTTCATTTTTTAAAGTAATTCAGAAAGGGAATTAGTTGTAAAAATTTGTTTTTGGTAAACCAGGTAACAGAAACTTTCTTTATTCTCAAAAGCACCATAGTAAACACCATATGTGTTTCTCAGAAAGACAGAATCCATTGATGTAATGGATGCAGTTGGAAGTAATATTGTGGTTAGCACAAGAACTGGAGAAGTGATGAGGATTTTGCCACGTATGCATGAGGACATCAATGAAGAGTGGATCTCTGATAAAACCAGGTATATGCTATATTGTTTTCCTTAACTTTTGCAGTTTATTTAAAGGAAATTTTATGATAATTTTAAAGAATTATCTTTTATATTTGCAAATTAGTTACTGAATATAGACTACTGGAATCTGAGCTGCTTATATAACATAATACTGACTTTAATAGTCCTAGGTCAATCCCTGGATATTGTGTTTACTTTGAGAAAGATATTTTTCCATCCCACATGGAGAAATTGAGGTAGATCGATACATTCTCAACTTATTTCAGTTTATTCCTTAGAGAAAAGAAGCTAGGCTGGGCGTGGTGACTCACACCTGTAATCCCAGCACTTTGGGAGGCCAAGGCGGGATGATTGCTTGAGAAAGAAGCTAAATATAAGAGTTTGCACAATGTAATTTTGACAAAATATTTAGAGATACTCATGTTTTGTAAACAAAAATGATTTGCCTTTTTTAGCTGTCAGATTTTTTTGTGTTGTAATTTTAAGATTGTTCAGTTAGCTAAAAGTATAAGAAACCAAACTTTTTTTGTATGTATTTAAGGGAAGAAATCAAACTTTGAGATGGTATTCTTAGTTAGGATGAAGTCTCTTAAAATCTATTAGTTCATCTCTAAAATATCTAAAATAATTACTTCTATCTAGGTGTTTAGATATTTGACACTTTAACCAGTACTATATTTAAATAACATTTCTCTTGATTTAACTTGAAAATTATAGTTACTTCTTTAGCAAGATTCCACAATCATGTAATTTCTGTTTTCTAGATTTGCCTATGATGGGCTAAAACGTCAAAGACTTACCGAGCCGATGATCCAGAAATGAAAAAGGGCTTTTAACCTATACTTCTTGGGAGGATGCACTCTCTCGTGTAGCTGGAATGGTAAAAATTGAAATAAATAGTGTTAAATATAGTGTTTGTGATTATCAAGAAACATCTTGCCATGAAGAGGGGGGATGTAGTTTCTTCCCTTTTTTCCTTTTGCCAAAGATTATGATTTAATCTTCCATTTTTACACAGACATCTTGTTGAGGACATATGCTAGATATTAATGCTAGATTAAGGGATATAAAGACCAACAGACATGTCATTCCTTGCATCCTACATCTTGTACTGGGAGAAAGTTGCACAATTCAGCAATTATTATATGCAGCTATGAGTAATTATATAGGGAGTAGTAATGATGAGGAGCATGTAGGAGGAATGCCTAACTAGGACAGGCAAATCAAGATGACTTCCTTGGGGTTGCAGTGAGCCGAGACCGCACCACTGCACTCCAGTCTGGAGTGACACAGCGAGACTCCATCTCAAAAAAAAAAAAAAAAAGATGCGCCTTCCTACAGAAGGTGATTCTTAAAGAATCTGAGAATTAATATGAGCTTGCCAGAGTACTAGTGGCGGGAATAGTTTTCTTGTTTAGAGAAGACAACATAAAGCACTAGAGGGGAAAGGCAGATACTTCAGAGGAGGTTGCATTTAAGGTAACTAATAGTTCCACTTCAGACCTCATTTTGAAGTGCCTTTGTTCCTAAATATAAAACAGCTTTCGTTCCAAGCTGATGTTATTAGCCGTGGCCCCACATGAACACTCTGCAGCTTTTCACTTTAGATAATTAATAATTGTTGTATACTTCTTTGTTTTTTTGAGGTTGGAGTTTCAACTGTTGTCGCCCAGGCTGTGAAGTGCAGTGGCGTGATCTCGATCTTGGGTCACTGCAGCCTCTGCTTCCGTGGTTCAAGCAGTTCTCCTGCCTCAGCCTCCCGAGTAGCTGGGAATACAGGCATATGCCCACCACGCCTAGCTAATTTTTTGTATTATTGGGTAGATGACGGGGTTTTTACATGCTTGGCCAGGGCTGGTCTCGAGCTCCTAAAACTGCAGGTGATCCCCCAAATTTCAGCCTCCAAATGCTGGGATTACAGGCATGAGCCCCACCGTGTCCTGGCCCGTGTTGTAAACACTTTTTAATCAGAAGATCTGTTAATTTTTTCTATACTTGGAAAACAATTACCATTTCATTTTCTGAACATCACATATATAATAAATATAACACATATAGTAAGATCTTGCTAGCATGAAGAATATAATACAATATTATATAAAACACACATATATACATCATCTGTTTCTAGTTCGGCAGAGTTCTTCAAGGCAAAGATGTGGGCAGCAATTGGGCAAGGTGGCTTCGGTGGATGCTGAAGCCCTAGTTCCCTCAAAGATTTACTTCACAATAGAGTGACCTCATGAACACCCGTTATGCACTGAAGAGGTCTTTACCCCACTGCAGGAGCTGGGTGAGAATACGGAAGCTAGGATCTAAGGGCCTTTTCTTTTCTTCTTTTAGTTAGGAAGTTATGTATAAAATGTCGCACAATCTGGATTCCCTCCAACATATCACCCCAGTTTATTTTCACAGTATGACCAAGATCAAACCAGAAATTGTAGGAAAATAGAGGAATCCATTTATCACTAAGTATCACAGGCCGGGCATTGGTGGCTCACGCATGTAATCCCAAGCACTCGTGGGGAGGCTGAGGCAGGCAGATCGCCCTGAGTGCAGGAGTTCGAGACCAGCCTGGCCAACAATGCCGCGAAAACCCCCCCGTCTCTACCTAAAGTACGAAAAAAAAATTAGCCGGCGCGTGGGTGTGTACGCCTGTAATCCCAGCTACTCAGGAAGCTGAGCAGGGAGCAATCGCTCTCCCATCTGGGACGGCTGGAGGTTGCAGTGAGCCAAGATAACACCACTGCATTCCAGAGTAGGCGACAGAAGTAGAACTCTGTCTAAAAAAAAAAAAAAAGAAAAAACAGTATCTGACAATGTTTATTTAAGTTTAGAAATACTTCATAAAATCTTTTCGTTTCGCGAACAATTCGCAACCATGCGGCTTTGATGTAGACTACATTTCATGCGATTCTCGTGTTGTATAATTTTAAAGTAAATTTGCATTTTACATATATTGTATTTCTAGCGCCGCGATTGCGTTTCCAAATTACCATTCTTAATTACTCAATTTGGTGGTGTGGAAGAGGCACGATGTTGTCCACTTTCTGTTGGTACAAATCCACGTTTTGGAGGCACAACTGTTTAATGCTAGATTCGAAAGAGGTTGGTAATAGTATCTTATTCAAGGCTTTAAAAATATTTACGTAATTTTTTCCCTGTTGCTTTATCATGTGAAAATGACGTCTTCCTA